GAAGTTTTTGGCCAAGATGCCGGGGTCACACCGCTACTCTTTTCAAGAAACGCCCTGGGATTTTGAATGATCACAGACAGTCAGGACCTCGGTTTTACATCTCATCCGAAGGACGGCGCCTGTTTACAGTATAATGTTCCCGTCACTTTATACCATATATATGTATGAAGGGTGGCACGCGGCACAGTTGTTAGCCATGCTGTCTTGCAGCAGTGAGGCCCTAAATTCAATTCCAGGCCTGGGGTGCTCTCTGCATGGAGTTTTCATGTCCCCCAGCGTTTGTGTGGGTTTCCTCTGGGTGCGCCGGTTTCCTCCAATCGTTCAAAGGCATGCGGGAAGGTTAAATGGCTGCTGGGAAAATCCAGCATGTGAATGTGGGTCCTGCAATGGACTGGCATCCAGGGTGTATCCTGCCTTGTGCCCGTTGCTTGCCAGGAAAGGCTCTGCCTCCTCCAAAACACTGAATTGAATATAGCGGTTAGAAAATGGATGGATATATATATACAGTTATGCACACTCCCTTTATTGTAGAATATTCTTCCATTAAATTTGAGCAATTATTTTCTAGAATTACACTTACACTTGAGTTAGACAGCAGCAGCGTTTTTTTTTGTTTCAGAGAATATTCAGAACTCGTGCTTATTTAAATGTGTTCAGTCCTGTAATTTTGCTTTGCTTTGCATCTTGATTCAAGACATGATTCAACAAGGCTGTGTCTGCTTGGCTGCCACCATAATCCTTTAGTAAGACATAAACACACGTGGCTTCATGTTACAAGTAATCCAGCTGCATTTTGTTGGATAAGCGACACCATTTTGTAATCTGTTTAATTTGTCAATTTTCAAGACTTTCATTAAAAGTTGGTGGCTAAATATAATTTCTCAGATAAATGAATACAGCATAACAACTAAACATTAAAGCATCATCTTTGAGAATCCATATATCCAACATAGTCCTAACAGTAAAATAGTGAATGTGCTTGCACTAGACCTGTCACTTATAGGATATATTTCTTGAGACAGTGATGTAGGTCATTTGCCAGTACACATTCCAGTGTAAATCCTGCATATTATTACAATTTCAGTTTGTCTGCTGAGGTAACGCATGAAACAAAGACATAAACGTGTGGAGAGTTTCCTGTAATGCATTTTGGTTTATATCTTAATCAATATCTTAAGCATCTTCTGGAGGTCTGTGTCAAAGGATTCAATAAAAAAAATGTAATTATTTAATGTCAGTACCAAGACAAAACTTAACAGGTTAAGCCAAGAGACAAGAAGCCAGAAAAATTAACAGGTGAAAAGAATTATTACTTACTTGTTATTTCCCTGTTTAGCTTTAAAATGTATGCATAAGTATCTTTGTGATTTTTACTCAGTTTATTATATGGGATGTCCTTTGGTCCTTATACTACTATGAAAATATACTTAGAAATATTAAACACAAATCCAGGTCGCCTCTTTTAAATTGACAACAATACTGTATTTTACAATGTCTTAACACTTGCAATTACATTTCTGGAGCAGGAGGAGAGGAAGGAGTTAATCCCTAAGGTCCTCACCTCTTCTTTATCTGGGGCACGCCAGTAATCCATAATTAGTGGCATCATCGATGGCTGCATCTTCAATCATCTTCAAAGCTCTGCTATAAATAGGTGTGTCTCCTTTAGAAGAACAGCGTGTCTTCTATGAAAAACGTTTCATGGTGCCAGTTCTCTCATTTTTCTTTCTTTTATGTGTTTGATAATCAGGATGTTGCAGCTTACATTTACAGAACGGGACCAGTAAGAGAGACGGAGCGTCAATTGATGGACTGCTTAGTCAAACAGGAAAGTATGCTACACCACGGAACCAATGTAATGTGGAATTCAGGTCCAAAAAACTGGTTGCCTGGAGCAGTTCAAGTCCAAAGGGAAGATTGTTTCAGGACTGTTTCTTGGAGTCGCACCTGTCTCCTTGACAGGTGACTTAGCAAAAGGCAACAGGCATTAGAAGTATTTTTAATAGTATGTATTGGGGAGCTTAACCAGTCTCAGGCTTAAGTTCATGGTGTTGTTGTTCTTGGGGGATAAAGCATTTAACAGGTTTTTATGACATGTCCTAGCACTGAAAGGATTGTATTGTGCCATTTCTTTTAGATAAAAGATGTTAGCGTCAATTCAAGAATTTGTCCGTTTAATCTAGATTCAGCAGTGCAGGGGGCTAAGGCTTCATATTTGCGTTTCAAGCCTTTTTCTTATCAGCCAACACTGATTGAACATTCTATGTTTTTGTAGCGTCTAATTTTACTTGAAGTGGCATAAAGAGTGCATTTTATATTACGTGCAGAAGAGCTAAGGTTCAGTTTATGTAAAAAGCCTCTCGTACATGGGAAGATTACATTTTCACACTGAAAACAACACAAAAGAAATCTGGACCTTTTTTTCTCTGTGCAGTCCTTTTAGTGTTTCCATTATGAGACGTGTAACATCAAAACACAGAGTGTCTGATGTGATTCACCTACAACTGTTTGTTAGGACAAACAGGAGTTAGCAGGCCACTGGGCATAACAGTAAGGACTGCTGATGTTGTTACTTTTTTAATCGAAGGACTCAAAACAATGAATCCACTGCTTGACTCTTAAACACTGACATTTTTTATTTATAGATTTTTGCTGAATGACTGAAACCCTTAACAAAGTGTTTGGTAGTCCCTTTATAATGAAGAACAAGAGAATATGTAAGTTCTTTTTCATGTTTTATATTCGTATATATTAATAAAAGGATGATCTCTTCATTGATGCAAAAATTCCAAGTAGCAATATATGGGAGCACAATATTCTTGAAAAGATATTATTTTGTTGGCAATATCAAGTTTTTATTATTGAAAGGATGTGCTAATAACACTGTGCTTAATAAAAGCACAATTTGCTACTGTGCAATTTACACAATATTTTCAAAATACATATTTATCTTAACCAACAAACATATGATAGCTGCAGCAAAATTAAATTACAATAAAAAACTGCCTTTCTCTGTTTTTAACTTAAAAATTGACATATTCAATCCAAATTTACTTTCTGGGCTCTGATAAACGTACAACTGATATAGTTTACAGCTGTTCCACTTTTCAATTCAAAAAGCTTCACATTTCCATCATTAGTTTCAAATTACTAATTTTGAAATCTTTAAAGTTGTGTCTACAATGCAGGTTTTAGTTAATGTTGGCTTTTAAAGACTTAAAAACAGGAATCTATATCAAAATGTATTAATATAAATAAAAGGAAAACACACTCAGAACTATCTTAATATTTGTCACTGACAAAAGTCACTGCATTTTATAGGACTTAATGACATTTGCAAGCTGCCCTGCCTTTTATAATACAAAATACCAGCAGCACCCAGACAAAAAACCAACACAGTGCAATAGTCTGTAATATACAGTGGAGGAGGAAGAGTTGGTGTGGACATAAAATAGAATTCAATTGCTTATACATTTGGCTGAGAAACAGCAATGGTGTCAACCCTATAAATGTGACCAATGTGTGGGTGTCTTTCAACCTGAAAAAGTATCAGTTTTGTGCAGGTTAGATGAGGGAACACTATATTTTATCCAGGAAATGGGGAACCCTCAGTAAAAACTGATGCAGAAAATAAGATCTGTCCGGAGTAGGAAAGCATGGCCCACATTCGGCCTGCTGCTTTCTTGATTTGAAAGTCTGCATCCTGGCAAGACGGAAAAAGTGGAACCATTCATCTGGTTAGTAAATACAATTGTGACAGTAAGGGAGGCGCCAGAGGCAAAATGCAAACTGCAATATGTCATGAACATGAAAATGCCCCGTTAATGGGGTTGACTGGGTGGTGAACTGCAAATGGGCAGGAGTGGCCACAATTCTCAAGATTAAGTGAAACATTCCTGAGAAACACTTCATTTTCAGACCAACCTCAACAATGCGTTTGCGAAGGGCATTTGTTGATGTGTTTGACTTCAACCCACTGAGTCTGAGGGATGACTGCCTAACCATATGGACAAGGAAGTCAGCCCACCCCTGTGATAAATCAAAAGACTCCTAGATTGATACTGGAGCTTTGGGTGGTGGAGGGGATGCTGAGAAATCGTGGTTCAAAGGCCTGTAATGATTTGCAGGAACAGCAGTTTGTCCTTCTCCCAGTGTCTCCCCAGACTTTCAGTATGACTGAAACTTGCATTGTCCAAAACCAAATATCTGGTGAAAAAAGTTTAGTTTAAAAGAATAACTGGGCTGTATAAATTGCTCTTGTGGATTGCATGGGTATTTGAGTTTACAATATCACATAAATGTGAAAGGAAGAACACAGTCTAATTACAGTAAAGCACCTTCAGTTAATACAGCAAATCACTATTATATCATTGACTTTCAGATATATGAGGAGCATCATTTTACTTTTAAAAAATAAACACAAAGACTGAAAAAGTATTCAGACAGTTCTAAAATAATGCTTAGATATCATAGAAGTGAAAAAAAAAACATACTGGAAATTGTATCCCTTTTCCTGGGACTTATCAGGTTTTTGTGTTAGAGCCGAGAAAAATACAGTATACAAACAATGTAAAAATAGATTTTGAAGGAAAAAGGAAAGAATAGATTTAGAAAGCAGTCCCAAACCTTTTTCAAGACAGTCAATTAAGCTAACAGTTGTCTAGCCATCTTGTAACCACAACGTCCATCTGGTGTTAAATATACCTCTGTTTGCGTTTCCCATAGTGTAGGCGTCCCATTCTCTCGTAATTATGGTGACACTTTGCCTTCTTAAGATGAGTGCTGATTGGTTGAAAAGCTCCTGGGCACCATTTAAATTAAATTGCACCTTTGAGTATTGGAATTTTTGGGGAATTTCAAAATTAATCTCAAATACGACAGAAGGACATTTAGGCTTCCGAATTTTTCTGACTTTCTTTTATCGTCATCTATAGGAAGACTGTTTTCAGGTAAGAGATAAAAAATAAAATATGTTATAGTATGCTCTTTCAAAAGGCTGGAAAAGTGGGGTAATTTTTCATTGCAGTAGTCATAGAATAATGATTTCTGTGTTTTCCAAAAGACAAAAATGACATTTATTGTTCAATAATGTGTCTGAAAATTTCATGTTTGAATAATAGGAAGGATGCACTTAATATTAAATGCACTCTTAGGCCTCCTTCACACCACAATGATTATGTACCTTTGTTCCATAATTATTATAGAAATAAAATATGATAAAATCTGTAAAGTTTAAGTCCCTTTAAAGAGGATTTAAAAAGACTCGGACTGGCCAAAGTGGTTCTGTTAATGGCAAAAACATTATTATATAGTAATATAAATAAGAAGCATCTTTTGTTAACAATCTTGCTAGCATGCTTAGATTTGCTCTTTAATAATACATCTGTATATTTCGTTTTCTTATTTAACCTTTTGGTCAGATATGATGCAAACGTTTTTTTCTCTGGTTCCTGAACACCAATGCCTGAATTACAATGTGACTGGACTTTACTGCCCTCTTGTGGTGACAAGAAATGTTGGGGTTTTTTTTGTGCAGTAGTAGCGTTTCACACTTATACAGCTGAAACACTCTTCTTTTCCTATCATCGTGAAATAAACCTTTACCTGTTCCTTTGCAGCTGACGCAGCTCCCTTCTCAAACTTCATTATATATATATATATGTTTCTATAGTTTGCTGTCTTTTTAACAAATCTTCTAATTTCTAAAAAAATCTTATAGTTTAACTGTATTTCAACCACTGTAAGACAATTTAATAAATCTGTTTTAAATTTCCTTCCAGAAAGGCCTTGTAAAATGAAGATTGCCCTGTTGTTCATATGTTTCTTGGCAGTAACCCTTGCTTTACCAGTAAGTATATTTTGGAGATAAAAAATATATTGTATTCTTTGACAATATTATGCACTGATAGCAAACTAAATGACTTAAAATATATATCTCAATACTGTAACTTGAAACTGTTTTTAATATTAAAACACACATCGTCCACCAATATAAACTGCATATTTATCTGCTTCTCTATTATTTAGGTACAAAGGAAACGAGTAGCCAGGTCTGACAGCTCACAGGAAAGAGGGGTAAAAACTTATACTTTTTAATTAAAGGAAACAATAATTGTGATTAGAATTACAATGTCAGATACAAATACATTTGTTACAGATATATCACAATATGTGCTTATACAGGGAGTCACCAACAGTTCAAATTGCTATTTTACTGTATTTTATTCTAATTAAAAGGAACCAAAAAAAACCTTTTGCATATTAAAATTTTCCACTTTATAAATGTACAGTCCTAACCTTTTACTTTTTTGCATGGTGTGTAAAGTACTAATAACTTGTTGATTAAAAGTACTGGTGTAGTCTCTTGAACGTAATAGGATAATAATATTTTACTGGAATTAAAATGTCCATTCCACTGAGTTTAACTTATGCTCATAAGTGCAACCTGAACTCTTAAAAAAAACCAACACAATAAGTACAGTTTCCCCAAGGATAGAAGTTTTTTTCTTCTCTCGCTCTGGTGTCCTGTTCTGCAGAGCGACTCCAGCGAGTCAAGCAATGAAGACCGAGACACCAGTGAGGAGTCTGAAAACGAAGAGGACAATGGAGGAGAGGAAGAGGGGGAGGACGACAATGGGGAAGAGGAAGATGGAG